CACCAGCGGCGGCAGCCAAGCAGAAGCAAGGGAGGGGCCCGGGCTGTTTTCTTGCAGGCAGGGAACCGGGGGGGGGGCCGGGCCCCGCCCCAGGCAGGGCAGAGACCCAGCTCCAGAGATTGCCGGAGCAGAGCCCCCAGCCCTGAATCTCCCTGGTGCTCGGGCACCACGAGCCCATCTCACCGGCCGCCTATGGGAGGTCTGTGCCTGGGAGCCCTGGGGGTGCTCCAGCCCTGCCCCGGTGCCCCTCCCCGTTCTCTGCCGCCCCAGGCCCGACAGCAGCGCTTTCCCTGGCCTCTCTCCAGCCCCGCAGTCCCACCCTGATGCCAGCCCCCTGGGGCGTGGGGAAGGAGCCGCTCGCCAGCCAGCTACCGGCGCGGTCTCCCCAGCCCAGAAGAAACCGGTGATGACCCTGCTGCGGCGTGGGAGGCTTCCAGCCCGGGCCGCAGGGTGGGGCTTCCTCTCAGGAAACCCCCCCCCCTCCCCTCCCGACACCCTCCATCTCCTCCGGGCGTCCAGCTCACTGCGGAGCCACTGGCCGGTGCGGCGGGGTCCCGGCAGGCAGGAGATGGAGTGAGCCCCCGAGTCCCCTTCAGAGCACGGTAAGGGGGGTGTGCGGGGCCCCCGCTCCCATGAGCCTCCGTCCCCATAACCCCCCCGCCCCGCTGCCCGGCTCTCACTCCAGCCAGCCCAGGGGCCCAAAGCACTTCACCAATGTCCCCAGACGCCGGGGTCCCGTTGGAGGGAAGAAACTGAGGCACAGGGAGGGGAAGACAGCAAGTGTGAAAAATCGGGACAGGGGGTGGGGAGTAATAGGAGCCTATATAAGAAAAAGCCCCCCAAAATTGGGACTGTCCCTATAAAATCGGGACATCTGGTCACCCTAAACAGCAGGTCAGGGACTAAGCCAGGAATCAGAACCCTGGAGTCCTGTGGCTTAGCTCCCTGCTCTAACCACTAGACCCCACTCCCCCCCCATTCTGTGTGTCTGTGAGCCTCACAGCAGGGAGCCACAGGGCTGCAGTGCCGGTGCTGGGTATGTGCCCTGCCGGCTGGGGGAGCCGGAGCCGGTGCTGGGTATGTGCCCTGCCAGCTGGGGGAGCCAGAGCCGGTGCTGGGTATGTGCCCTGCCGGCTGGGGGAGCCGGAGCCGGTGCTGGGGACGTGCCCTGCCGGCTGGGGGAGCCGGAGCCGGTGCTGCGTACGTGTCCAGCCGGCTGGAGTTGTTGGTGCCAAGCGAATGGGAATGAGCCAAGTCTCTGCCCAGCTGCTGCCTTCACCATCCTGGGGAGTCCAATGCAGCCTGGTCCTGGTGTGGTCCAAGCAGGGCTCCCCTGGCGGGGCAGATGGGCACAAGCCAGCCCTGCCGTGGGGTTCCTGATCTCAGGCCAGTCGCTGCGGGGTGGGGCTGGGCTGGACCTACTGGCCATGTCTTGGTGCCACACCCCTGGGGGAGGGGCCCAGTGGGACTGGGACCCCGGGAAGGGAAAATGGGTCCTCCCCCGTCCATGCATTTGCTGGACTGCACATATCCCCATGCCCCCCTGTGCCCATCCAACCCCCCTTGCCCACTCCCCGGCTGTCCCTCCCCCCACATCCCTCTTCTCCCATCTGTCACCCATCCCCCCCATGCCTCTGTTGCCCCCCCACTCTGCCTCCACCAACTACCCCTCTCTATTGTCTCTCTTCCCCCTGCTCCCCTCTTCTCTCCCCCAACTTTGCCCATCCCCCTCCAGCACCAAAGTGCAGTTTGACCCCGGGGAGCCTCAGGCTCTGGGACTCACCCAGGCCCCTGCAGCAGGATAGAAGGCCAGTCACTGCCAGCGCCAGGGATAGACCCTAGGAGTCCTGGCGCCCAGCCCCTGCTCTAATCACTAGACCCCAGTGTTTCCTCAATTCTCCTCACCATGCAACTTGGCCAGACTCTGCGGGAGTTTGGTCCCTGGACCTTTGGCATTTTGCTCCAATGCTGTGCAGAGGGGAACCCCCCCGTCGCCCTGCCGTGGGAGCAGAGCTTCCAGGGACATTGGCTTTGGCTGCTGGTAATTACTGTATGGATCTAACCCCGTCCAAATGCACTGTCTGCCCCCCTCTCTCTGGGCGCCCTGCGAGGTCTCTGTCGGGGCAGGGGGGGCGAAGTTGACTGGGGCATGTGTGTGTGTGGGGGGGGGATTAGGCAGGGAGCAGAGGGGTGGGGGGAGCACATTTGTATTACGATCTGTGATACTGTAGCCCCCAGGACCTCAAATCAGTCCCCTCTCCCATGGCGCTAGGTGCTGTACAAACACACGACAGACAGTCCCTCCCCCAAGGGGGCCTCCCCAGTCCTGGCCCATGTCTAATCTGCCCCTGTCGCTGTCCCCAGAGCCACTCCCATACCCCATGCCCTGCCCCTCCCCATTGACAGCTCCGCAGGGCAGGGGTCTCCTTCATCTCCTGCATGGCTGGAAAGTGCTGGGTGTCCTGGGGCATCTATGTGCCTGCCAGCCTGACGGCAGGAGTGGGTGCCCCTGCCCCACCGGTGTGGGGTGTCCAGACTCACTCAGAAAGCTGCCAGCTGGCGTGGCAATAAGAACAGTCAGACGGCTGGGCTCCCTGCAGGCTCTAGGGTGAGGAACAACTCCTCGGCTCCCACCCAGGGGCTCTCAGCCCCCAGCAGGCCCAACAACCCAAGCCCTGCCAGGCACCTTTCAGCAGAGGTGCCAGGGTGCCCTGAGGGAGCGGGTCTGAAGCATTAACTCCTGTCCCTCATGCAGAGGGGCAGGCAGATTGCAAAGCAAGGCAAATGGGCAGGGGGTGGGGGGAGACCCAGGAGTCCTGCCCCCTGCTGTAACCCATCAGGGTAGGTCTACATTGCAAAGAACAAACGCTGCAGCAGCCGTGAGTCAGACCCCAGCTCACTGGGCTCTCTGACTGTGAGGACAAGAACAGCAGCGTAGTCTGACTCCCAGGGAGGTGGGTGGGGCTCAGAGTCTACATGGCTATTTTTAGCCCCATAGCCCGAGTAAATTGGCCTGGGCGCTAGGACTCGTTGCTGCGAGGTTATTTTTGCAGTGTAGACGTACGCTAGACCCCACTCCCCTCCCAAAGCTGGAGATAGAACCAGGAGT